GGGGATTTCAAATGTCGTGGTCCGGAAACTACGTGAACTTTGCATCTCCAGTCACTGGCGGCTTGGCCCCACCTGGGTTTTTGCTGGCCCCCCTGACCAAAAATCCTGGCTGTCCCTCTGTACTAGGATGATGACACATACACGAAAAAAGGCTCCATAGCCAAAGTGGCATACTTTCCGGATGGGTTTATTGCGAAACTAGCCCCTCTTAATTCGGGGGGTGTCTGCCAGAATTGCCCTGCCAAAACCGATGATGCTCTGCAGTAAATTTTTATTTCTGGCCAATATTTTTCCAAGAAATTTTTTTCCGGACAGTAAAAAAAAAAGGGTCAGCAATTTTTCCGTACATAAACCACTTAAATTAAGGGTCAAAAAAATTTTTCCGTACAAATTCCAGTTAAAACATGGGTGAAACCCTTATTTTTGTACCAATATTGGTAAAATTTATATCTATAAATTCTATTAAATTCCCTCTGAAACCTTGTAAGTTACTTCATAACTCTACATTCTATCATTTAAAATCTTTGATTGCCCTGCCAACTCAGATGATTCGTATTTTTTTTTGGTTAGGGGTGTCACCTCCCATACCCCCCTCAAGTTTCGCCCCTGATAACAAGCCTGTTATTTTAGTATTAGCAAGGTTTTATACAACATGGTCGCATTAACAAAACAATTGATTATGATTTATGATTTATGATTTATGAAGGAACTTGTCATGTTGTTTGAGCACTTGTTCAAAAATAGTTTCTTCTTACCAATTTGCAACCATTCGTTGTAGCTGTCCCCTACAGGTACCCAGTGATCTCCTGAAAGAGGTCCGCTGTGAGGGGTTTTGTTATCCTTACATATCGTTTTCGAGGTGCAAAGCCCTTTGCCATCAGCTTGACATTTTGCTGAGCCTTGTTTGTAGGAGATTTTATTTGAAGTTGCCTTTATGGTAATGCCATCTTCTAATGGAAGAAAAGTTTTAAGGTCATTTTACAAGAAGCAATTTTTTCTGCAACTTGCAATGCTATTCTAACAGGCAGCATATTATCTGTAAAAGGAGGCTTTTTTTTCCAGACGAAATCAGTTAACCTTTGGAACAAACCGCTTCATTTTTCAATCTCTCAACGAATCTCACCACAAGTCTTACCTTTGCTCTTTATTTTGCAGCAGTATAAATTTCCTTTGAAATTGTGGACACTATTTTTCAATCCCCAAGAAGGTTTGGAACCTAGTGTACTGTGAAGAACGCATGGACGGTGTGGAGAATTTCCTAAAAGTGTAAAAACAAAATAACAGATTAAACTATTCAAACCAATGAGATCTGCTTTCCTCAGTTATTCACACTTTGCTTACCGATCTGTATCCATTCATTGGAGCTGTCAGCTACGGGCACCCAGTGGTCACCAGGAATAACTCCACTGTATGGTATTCTACCATCTTTGCATATTGTTTTGGAACTGCAAAGCTCTTTTTCATCTGATCTGCAGTTTGAAATTGCCTGCTGGTACGAAATTGTTTTTGTAACTAACTTTACGGCAGTTGAATATTCACTGACATCTGAAAATAAACATTGAAAATGCAGAATGTGAAGGGGTAAAAATTGTCTGTGTTGCTGTCATTGTATAATCGCGCTTAGTGACATTGAACGATTTACATTTCTTAACACGTTTCTTGAGAATCATGCCTATACCTAATACGTTCGTTTATCTAACATTGAGAGTTCAATCTAGGCCTTCCCGATTGTGCTAGTAAAACTGGAATTTAAAAAAATAATTATATAAGATGATAGATCACTATAGCAATTTATGCGGCATTTATAGGTATTCGAATGGGACCCTTTAACGGGGCTCCCATATTATCATTGACATGAATCAATGACAAGTTAATTGCTAGTCCGTTAATGGACCATTCCCCAATTAACCAAAATGTTGATCTCTACAAGTCTAGACAAAATTCCATCATGGCATGAAAGAGCATCACAAACTTAGTAATATTCCAAAGTTTCGTTGCCAAATGTTGTAAAATGCGGATAATATAGCCTTGCGAAATTTGCAATTTTCAGTCATTTTAGATTACAAACGGAAAATGGTTACCACTTTTCCAAAATTTTGATCTTAACTAGCCTAAACAAAATTTTCATCACAGCTCGAAAGAGCATCACAAAATTAGTAATATTCCAAAGTTTCGTTGCGAAATGTTGTAAAATGCGGATAATATAGCCTTGCGAAATTTGCAATTTTCAGTCATTTTAGATTACAAACGGAAAATGGTTACCAATTTTCCAAAATTTTGATCTTAACTAGCCTAAACAAAATTTTCATCACAGCTCGAAAGAGCATCACAAAATTAGTAATATTCCAAAGTTTCGTTGCAAAATGCGGATAATATAGCTTTGCGAAGTTTGTAATTTTCAGTCATTTTGTATTACGCGCAGAAGTGGTAACCATTTCCCGTTTGTAATCTAAAATGACTGAAAATTGTAAACTTCGGAAGACTATATTATCCGCATTTTACAACATGTTGCAACGAAACTTTAGAATATTAGTTTTGTGATGCTCTTTCAAACTGTGATGAAATTTTTGTCTAGACTTGTTGAGTTCAAAATTTTGATTAATTGGGGAATGGTCCATTGTTAGTCCGTGATTTCTGCTAAGCAGCTCATTTTCGCTACGTTAAAACCATAAAATAAAATTCTTAGAGACATATAATATACCATTTATAGAATTTAATTTAGTATGAGTATAAGGATTACGTATTTAAATATAATAATTATGTATAAATTACATGTACGTGTAATAACTATATAACAATTAGGCTACTGGTTAAAATTAATGGTAAAATTATATTACTAAACCAGAAGTATAGTATTTATTCTAATTGTTTTAAATTTAATAAATATTAAATTTAATTACTATAATAAATTATTTAACTTCTTTGTATGTTTGCATGGCGATCAAACATATAATAGTTTTGTTTGTGGAAACACCACGTAAATTTATTACTGCAGTAATAAATTTACGTGGTGTTTCCACGAACAAAACTATTATAATAAATTATTAGTTCTTTCATTGTATACAGGAAAGTAGAAGAGTTGATAGTTCAAGTGATAGATTAAATATATGCTTTATAATAATTCAAATAGCAATACTGAAGTTAGGATAAACGGTTAGGATAAGTTTTACGGTTAGTGGTTAGGCTATATGGTTAGTGTTTAGCATTAGGGTTAGTAACTATAGTGAAGTAGATAGGGTTAGTAATTAAAGCTGGTAGTTTGGGTTAGGATTAGGGTAAATGGTTAAATTCAGGGTTAAAGGGTTGAGGTGAATAAGCCACTATGGAAATAATTATTAACTATATTAGCCACTCAAAATCAATATTTAAAATATCTGTGATTATTTACTCGTTCTTGTTTAGGTTTCTGGTGTTGGGTGTTTGTTGATATGATTGTATTATATTTACCAAGTAAATTGTATTATGATTTTTTCTGTGTTGGTGTAATGTACTCAGGTGAATATGATGCTTGTGATGTTACTCTGAGTGTATATCCATACCGGGCAAGCTTGAAAAATATGTCTGACCACGGTGGGAATCGAACCTACGACCCTTGGAATACTAGCCCAATAATGCTCTGCCAACTGAGCTACGCGGTCTGGTCGGTTCAAGTATGTGATATTTCGGAACAGAATCTAGTTCCTTCGATATCAATGTTATCTAATAATAATCATGATTTTTTCTGTGTCGGTGTAATGTACTCAGGTGAATATGATGCTTGTGATGTTACTCTGAGTGTATATCCACACCGGGCAGGCTTGAAAAATATGCCTGACCACGGTGGGAATCGAACCTACGACCTTTGGAATACTAGCCCAATGCTCTGCCAACTGAGCTACGCGGTCTGGTCGGTTCGAGTATGTGATATTTCGGAACAGAATCTAGTTCCTTCGATATCAGTGTTATCTAATAATAATCATGATTTTTTCTGTGTTGGTGTATTGTACTCAGGTGAATATGATGCTTGTGATGTTACTCTGAGTGTATATCCACACCTGGCAAGCTTGAAAAATATGCCTGACCACGGTGGGATTCGAACCTACGAGCTTTGTAATACTAGCCCAATGCTCTGCCAACTGAGCTATACGCGGTCTGGTCGGTTCGAGTATGTGATATTTCGGAACAGAATCTAGTTCCTTCGATATCAGTGTATCTAATAATAATCATGATTTTTTCTGTGTTGGTGTATTGTACTCAGGTGAATATGATGCTTGTGATGTTACTCTGAGTATATATCCACACCGGGCAAGCTTGAAAAAGATGCTTGACCACGGTGGAAATCGAACCTACGACATTTGGAACACTAGCCCAATGCTCTGCCAACTGAGCTACGCGCGACTTACTCGATTCCCACCGTGGTCAGACATATTTTTCAAGCTTGCCCGGTGTGGATATACACTCAGAATAACATCACAAGCATCATATTCACCTGAGTACATTACACCAACACAGAAAAAAATATCATGATTATTATTAGAAAATATTGATATCGAAGAAAATAGATTCTGTTCCGAAATATCACATACTCGAACCGACCAGACCGCGTAGCTCAGTTGGCAGGGCATTGGGCTAGTATTCCAAAGGTCGTAGGTTCGATTCCCACCGTGGTCAGGCATATTTTTCAAGCTTGCCCGGTGTGGATATACACTCAGAGTAACAACACAAGCATTAAATTGTATTAATACGAAAAAATTAACAAATTGTGAGATAAAAATATACAGTAAGATCAAATGGAGTAACTTTTTATAATAATGATAGGAAGGCAATCAGATTATTTTGAACGATAGGAAGGCAATCAGATTATTTTTCTAATTAGCATGGTCTTTTAATTAATGCTATCCAGAAATCTCAAGTCGATATGGTAAAGATTAAAGTAAAACCATAGATTAGATTTATTCTCTTTATTGTTTAGAATGTAATCAAGTTGACGTGCTCGTTTTTTCATTTTGTGCTGATCCGCCCAAATTTGGGATGTCATGCAGAATCCATTCTGATATAGTTATAGAAGACCCTCCGTTACCGATAAAAAGATAACCAGCTCAAACATATCTCGGTCGCTGATATAGGCTTACTTCAGAATTTAAGTTTTATATTCATGCGGCATAGTTTTGTTGCATAAAAAATATTGCCATCAATTGTAGGAAGTAATTCTCTTCGTTTTGAAATGTTGTCTTGTTTTGATGTATTGTAGAATTGGGCATGGTAAAGATTAAGTATTTGCTGATTTGTGTTATTCATGAGCAGTATTTGTAGAAGGCTATAAATAATAAAATTTAAAATATAAATTCATTTTGGTATTGAAATTAAATTATTGGTATGATGTAGTGAAAGCGATAGTAAGTGGTTATATATATAGTGATAATAAGTGGTTAAATATATAATGATAATAAATTGGTATAGCTGATTTTAGTGTTTATTGTAATATAAAGTAATTTCTGTATTAATAAATTAGTTTTTAATAGGATGGACTGACAGTATAGAAAATGAAAGAAAGCTTGAAATAGAATAAGGTTGGATAGCGCAAAACCCGGCCGTGCTTTAATCAAAGATGAAACCAAAATCACAGCATTTGCGAAGGTAAAACTACTGCAATTTAGCCCATTGATTGTTTCAAAAAGAGAAACAATGTCATGAATTCTTCAGGTTCCAAGCATGACAGGGAGACGTGTTTCTAACCTACCGGCAGGTCTTGGAACGACACGCCCGTTTATGAAAGATACAAGAACAAGATGAGTAAAGAGAAACGAAAATTTATGTAAAATTATAAAATATAAATATTTAACAATTATTTGCCGAAAAGCGAAGTGATTACCGGTGAATATTCACCGAGACAAAGTCGACGTGAATATTCACCGTAATCACTGAGCCTGAGGCGAATAATTGTTTTAGTATAAATTTTTAATGAATAAAACAATATCCAAATATCAGTTCAATTAAATCAGAAATAAAAGTGTTTTCATTTTGTTGTTGCAGTGTTTCTTGTACCATAGTTAATAGAGGAGATGGTTTGGAAACTCGTTAGCATTACTATAAAATTACAATAAACCTCATTATCTATGTTGTTCAGGTTTATGCAAAAATATGGTCTTTCATCGTCACGTGCGTATTGTATTTTTTTCAAGTCAACCGATAGGAATGTTCAAAATGTCCTATTGTTAAAGTCATGGATGGGTAATTGGACAAAACCGTTGCTATTGGCTGGTGGAGAAAAAATACAATACGCACAGTAGTATAGGAACTGGCGTGTCTAGACCACTAGTTTTTCGTTCGCGTTCACGTGAAAACTTACACACCTGATTTAATTAAAATCCTTTTTTATTGTTATACGGTTCTAGACCATCTTGGTTTTCCAGGAACGCCAGTTTTTTTCTTTCATTAAAATTAATTATTTTTCATTTAACTTATCTCAAAGCTTCGGAGTCCAGCTGAGACTCTAATACGTTTATCCTACACTTTTCCAATATCGTCCAACCTTCCTATTCCAGAGCCTTTTCAACATCTTTTATTTCCTCCTTGAGGGTACAGACATCCTTTCCATAAAATTGTTGGATCCTAATTTCGAAGCACTGATTAGTACCCTACAAGAACTACACCACGTCCGTTTTTGGTGTTGCTTCTTACAAGTGCCACACCTAACGTCTGTGCCTTTAGGTTCATTAACATTTTCAAATCTTCCTTCGATTCTGGAGGTAGTATATCCAGGTTGTTTTTTATGTGATTAATATCAGGTACAATTTTTCTTAACGGTTGCAGTTTCTTGAACTTCCACCTTTTAGCAGGCACCACAACCTTAAGTGGTGGTCTGGGGTAATACTTATCAATTTTTTCTTCCACTCTTACTGGTACACAGCTAGGTTCTATTTTTTCTTCAATCACCCCTTCAACGTCTGTTTTTCCAATTGCGTGGTGTCCATAGGCGTAACTTGTAACTCCATCTTCAAGTAAGTATCTTTTGTCATCAAAACAGCTAAGAGTAACCTTCTTCAATTCGTAAGTTCCAATTGTATGCTTTACACTTCTGATTGTATTCATATTATGTCTCATCCTACCTTTCGTATTAATTACATTCTTAAAGTTCTCGTGAGTGAGCTTGTTTCTGATGACATACTTTTTGACTCCTTTAGCAGTCATTCCACCTCCACCGTTTTCCTTTACATAGGAATACATTTTTGACCTCAACCCAACAAACTCAATTATAGGTACTCCTTCAGCTTCATCCTTAAACTTACCTATAACCTTCTTGTTGTAAGTTGAGTAG